GGTATGGAGGCTAAGTGGGGTCCTGGAAACTTACTTAAGGAGATGAGTCAGGAGGGGGCAGTTTGACCGAGGCAGCAATAGGTAACTCTGAAATGCCATTACACTGACTGACATCACTTCTCCTGTGCGACTGATATGTTTACATGTTGAGTGTTTTGTCTCTTTTTCTCTTGAGATCAGAGATTTCTGGTTTGTTCATAGTTGTATTTCCTATATTTGACACAGCCCCTGATGTAAAGAGGGTACTCTGTAAATATTTGTTGAACAAATATGTCAAGAGCCCTGAAGATGAATGAGAACAGAGTATTTCAGGGTAATATAAATACAGGTGACTTGTGACATAAGAGAGATGATGAGTACCTTTACTTTTTAGCATTTCACCCTAATATTTTAACACTAATCATGTTGGCAAAAACATGAATTTATTGCTACCCAGTGATAACAAGTACAGGTGTTGCTCCTCCACAGTGGAGAAAATAAGAGATGCTGGAGAAATGTACAGATGGGCTGAAATGTGGGGTGGAAGACTTAAAGAGCATCGTCTGATCATAGAACATCACGTGGTGAAGTGAAAATTACTGAGTTGTCTCAGAACTTAAGACTAGGTTTGGTAGACAGTTTTACACAATGGCCAAAGGACAGAGTGATGCTTCTGGCACGAGAACAAGTCTTACTACATAGGGCATCTGAGGGAAGTTTGCAGGTACCAAAACACAACTTGCAAGTAACTTTTTAGAAAGTTAGGGATCACTAAAGGGGAAAGATACTATTTAAGTCAGTTATTTTTGTTAAATGTATCAGGCAACAAAGAATCTGAAAGGACTATGGGGAGGAGGAGGAGAAAGAAAAGAAAACTGTCATTCCTTCAGGATTTTCCCACTGTGATTGTCATTTTGGAGGCATTTTTGCAAGTCAAATAAGCAGGGAGCATTTTTGACACAGTTGTCTGTGACTTTAAATATAGCTTGAATGTCTTCAGAATAATGAAAAACAGTCTGTTCTTGTGAAGGGAAGATTCACTGGAGAAATACAGGTGGTTTTTCTCAAATTTATTCGGTATCTTGTTCGAAGGAATCACAGATAAGAAGAAGTAGAATCCCGCCACATGAAGATTTATGATATATCATTTACACTGATTTATTTTTAGGTAAATAAGAATGTGAGTACATGTATATTTCACTTGTTGAGTGATTTTTGTGTTGTCTTTTGAGATGGGCTTCTTGGGCTGAAAATAAATTGTCTAGAAATCAATGATCCTACAAATTGGGTGTCAATTCTAATTCTGTTTACCAAAGTATTGTGTTTTATTTTAAGTTTTCTATTCATTTTTGGTTGGAGATGGGAGAGGAGCATTGGAGAAGATGAGATTGTGGTGCTAATTAGGGCTTCATCACAAAAGGCCTTCTGCTAAGGCACTCAGAATTTATCCAAGTGCATTTAGGAACCATGCAGGGTTTTAATTAGAGAAGAGACATATGAAGAATGCTCAAGATGCCAAGATTTGCTGTATGAGTTTGAAACTAAATTGGGTGGGAGGAAAATTAGAAAGAAAGAGAATAGTTTCAGAGACTTTCAGTAATGCAAGAAAATGTTAATGGTGCTCTGATGGCGGTGGAAGGTAATAATAGGTGGATTAATAATCTGTGACAGTTCTAGGGGGTTTGCTCAGTGGTACCACCGCCTGTGTCTCAAGCACAAGGTCCTGAGTTTGATCCCTGGTACAAAAGAAAAAAAATATGTGACAGATGAAGCAATGATAAAACTTTTTGTTTACTTGCATGAATTCCAAAAAGAAACATTGTCATAAGCCATTTCCTGCAGCAAAATACCAGAGACTGGATGACTTAGAAAGAAAAGAGTTTTATTTAGCTGATAGTTCTGGAGGCACAAGAAGATGTTGCTGGCATCTGCTCAACTTCTGGTGAGGACCATGCACTACCTAAATCATGGCAGATGAATGGAAAAAGAAAGTTGCATGCAAAGGTGCCAGACACATGGGTGCCATCCCTTTTTAAAGAAGCACTCTTGCTGCAACTGATCCAGACCTGAAACAATGATAACTCACGAGAAGAGAATTTCTCTTGGAGACTTAGTTACATTTAAAGGCCTCAACACTGTACTTAACCCTGTCACATTGGGGACTGAGCCTCAGCATGGATTTTGATGGAGACAGACTATTGAAACTATAGGTGGGGGGGGGCTGGGGATTTAGCGCAGTGGTTCTGGCGCCTGCCTCACAAGCCTCAAGGACCGGAGTGCGCCCTGGTACCA